CACCGTTGGTCACGTAACTCCTCCTCGACTGCATGGTGCCTACGCCATCTTTATTATTAGTTGCTGTTGTTTGGTAAGGACAGCCTATGGCGACAGCAGGCCACAGTGCCTGCAAATCCCATAATGCTTTGCAAGGAGAGTTCTTAGCGCAAACTTCGTAGACAATTTTTCTCTTACGACCCTTGGCCATTTTTAAAGAACCGCGGTGGGAAAGGTGAGCTTCAATGACTGTCTGAAACCGTAGCTCACCACAGATATACGCCTGATAGTATGCCTGCGCAGAAAAAGATAGGTAACTGGGGACGAGCACATAGGACAGCTTTATGTAAACATATCACCAGAATGACTGACAATTAGGAGGACCACTTATTTAGATGATCCACCCTAAAATAAAAGTGTGTCTTCTATACCTTTAAAGTAGCATTTGGCAATTTCAAATTTTAACAGACCAATTCCGTAATTCAGCAGAACATATTTTTAAAAGCCTTACCTTATTACTGCATTAATTACTTAACACTTTAAGTTAGTTTATGTTCACTGATCATTAAAATAATCCCATATTCATCTGGGGACTTTAATTTATTTGAAACAATCGATTGTCAGGTTGATTAAAGCACTTAAACTGTGGTTTATTTATAGAATTAAGAATCTGTTGCACCATTCTCTAGAACTTCCTCTGATATTGGAATGTTGTTGAAATCTTTGTAGTAATGAGCAGGTTTTAGGCAGTTTGTGTAGAAAGTTTGACCACGACCCATTAAAACTGGATGAATTCCTAACACAGACTCAACCGTTCACCAGAATAAACCCAACAGGTTTCTATTTGCTTTAGTTCTAGGCCTTTTCAGAAGCTAAATGTTTGCTCGCTTTATCTTTTTCAAAACGTTTTTTCCCAACTTCTGCAGGAAATGTTGTAAAGCTTATTTGTTCTTTTCTATTAGGAGAAATATTGCGATCAACTAAAAGCCAAAAAAATTCAATGACTTGTCTGTGATGAGTGTATGTGAGTAAAACTAGATTATCTACTACTAAACTAAAAATACTCCTACCCTAAATCAATTATTTTCCAATTAGGCCACATTTCTTGTCTTGTTTTTCTTTTATTTTCCTCACACCACCACGCAAAACACAAACATACATCATTCCTGCTATTCTCTACATGCCATTTAAAATCCCACACAAAACATAAATGCGCTGTTAAGTACTTCAACAGAAACACCCTCAATGACTGCAGTGTGCAATCCACCCCTCTGATTGGCAGGGAAGCTGCCTGTTTCAGGAATGAAATATCTGTAGAAGCTCAGTTGTCAAAGCCGGCTGTAAAAGTGTGACACAGCTGTGCCTACCAGATGTTTTCATTCAAAGGCCAGGAAACAAGGTGAAGTAAGGGAAAGCATGTTTAAATCCTCTCTCATCCCTGGCGCCTATAATCTTTTTTTAAGAGTTATGCAACAACCGTCTAGTAAACATTCAAAATGTCTCAAAGCTAATTACATTTTTTAAATGAACAATATTGAATTATTCTGAAGCTTTTGTTTCTGTTCCCTGATATTAATTAGAACGTAGACTCAATTACCATTCATTAAATTAACCTATTAAACGGATGGAGGAGAAGAGAAACAGTTTGGCTGGAAAGAGTCATTTTGAGAACTTAAGAATTACATCAATTGTAACAATCTATCTGGAAATGTCACGGATTTGAGTTTCTCTAATTAAGATCAATAAAGCTCTAGTTGTTCTTCTGTAGCTTGTGACAAAACTAGAGACGGAAATGTCTTTGACATTGTAGAATCAAGACTCTGTGTAGTTTTTCTACCAAAAACGGGATGGTTGCTGGCATTCTTTTTGATGCTGGAACAGGGTGGGAACCCTTAAACTCTCAGCTAATACATGTTGCAGTTGCCTGCTTAGTAGGAAACTCAACCATAACTTTGGTGCTGTATCTTAACCACTCCATTTTCCATCCATTTTCTACCACTTAGTCATTGTTAGGGTCACGGTCGAGCAGGTGCCTATCTCCTGCAGTCTGTGGGCGAGAGTTGGGGTACTCCATGGTCAGGTCGCCGGTCTGTCACAGGACAACACAGAGACACACAACCATGTACACACTCAGACTAAGGACAATTTAGAGAAGCCCATTAACAGTCATGTTTTTGCGCTGTGGGAGGATGCACAGGAAGAACATGCAAACTCCATGCAGAGAGACCCTGGGCCAGGAATCGAATCAAGGGCCTTCTTGCTGCAAGGCAGTGGTACCTACTGCACCGCTCTCATCTATGGGCTCTCTAAATGATCAGTTTCAGTCTAAATATAGATTGTTAAATGGAGATAAAAGGCATTTGATACACTACACAAAAGACTATTACATGACCAAGTATAGGGCTTATGAAACATAATTAAAGGAAATAGAGAAAAAACAAAATACCTAGGTTCCCATACTTAAAGCTTTAAAGCACAGGTCTGCAAAGAAGTGCGCTTAAACTGAAATTTTCGAGGGCCTGTTTCCTGCAAGTTTTAGTTGCATTTCATGCCCTACACATCTGAATCAAATGTCTGCCTTAGTAGCCTACAACCAAGTTCTACAGAGCTCTGCTAATGAGCTCAGATTAGATTTAGGTGTGTACTGTAGAAGCAGAGCTGCATCTAGAGTAAGAGCTGTTGGACACTGGCTCTAGAGGACTGGAGTTTAATTGTAAAGACTAACTTCCAACTTTGCTTTGGGCCCGAGTACAGGCTTTAGATAGTATGGTCAAATAGTTTTTTTCAACTTGTTCTGGAACAAAGGTGTGTTTATGTAATTTATCAGGCAGAACCAATTCTTTTTACTGGGGATTGTTTTGTTCTTTAATAGCTGCTTTAAATTGTGGCATCCCTAAAGTATAACATTCTTTGGTATGTTCTGCTGATTTGGTTGCGGTTGATTCTTGAATCCAGGGTAGCTTTTTCCTTTCTCCAAATACATGAACAAAAACGAAACTGTGGTAACAAAACTCTAATTTTAAACAAAAAGTAAACGTTTATTGATTTATAAAACCTTTTTTAAATGGATAGTCAATGGAGAAATTGGCGTTATGTGCCGATGTCATTTCAAGGCGTGGCTTCTGAATGGGATAATGAATCGGTAAACTTAGATACAATTCAGCCAGTGCTGATACAAGGGGGAAAAAACAGCATTTCTAGCCCAAAATACCAGCTGACTAATGTTTTGGGTGTCCTCTCTTTGCAGATGTATACTGACTCTTTAGGCTCTGTTCTAATCTTCATTTAAATTGTGAAATGCTGATTTCCTAATAACTTTCAACAGGTAAATGACTAAATAAACAAAGAATAGTTTACAGTTGATATGACACATATTGCTGTACTTTACATCCCAAATCACCTCAGAATTAAATAAGCATTAGTAGGTCTCCGTTTACTTTTCTGCAGTAGGCCATATGTTCTGACTGGAAATTAGTCCTTTTAAGTACATGGGTGATTCAAAGAACTAATTTGAAAAATACTTTAGTTCCTAAAGTTGTGTATGGTTTGAAATCCATTTGTATCTCTGATTTCCTCACCCCCTCTTTAGATGATAGGACTGTTTCTTTTCCATTTAGGCTGTTGTAGATTGGTTTACATACTGTAGGAGAATATGTTTTTGCTTTTAAAGCCTGGAGGCAGCTGAACAGGAAAGCTTCTGAACACACTGTAAAGGATACGGATATATATCTTTTTTTTTTTTTTTTTTTTTTTACACATTTTTATTTCTCTGATGTTATGCATTTCAGTTAGTTTTTCATGTTTTCTTTGGTTTTCAGGGCTGATTGTACACCATTTGGTCCAACGTTTGCTTTTGAATGTGCTTCATAGATGTATTTGGCTCAAAGGAAATCTTAAAAAGAAAATATAACACTAACAAGTGTTTAATCTATAAAACCATATTTTACAGTTGCTCTACATCTATATTAAAATTCTCCTAGAACAGGTCGGTATTCTTGATGTTCTACTAGATATCTACCTTTTGATCTGGGTCTCCAAAGTGAAACCATCTCTAGGGCAGGCTCTGCCTGTAAAGGTTACCATAGTGATTGCTTCCCACTTAGATGTGGACCAGCATGGCGATACCAGAAAACTTTGCTTGAGCCTGGGGCTATTAGCCGAGGTCCAAGCTTGCCTTGCAACACACGCCTCAAAAAAACCTTAAAGCTGTTTCTTTTTTTTCTTTTTTCTTTTTTAAGTAACTGAACAATATCCCAACCATTTTAGACATTGAATGCCTAAAGAGATATAAATCGGCATGTCATACAATGACCGTTTGAGTTTGTGTGAGTGAGCTCTGCGAAGATTAAAGTAGATATATCTCACTTGGATGAAAAGGTATCAGTGAGGCCATTCTCATATCTGCTCTGTATTATAAATTCAATTAGAACTTTATCTTCAAAGCAGTTTTACTGATAGGTGTGAGCTTGTTGAGATACTCTTAAAGAAGGGCACCTGTAGCTTTTAGATCTGACTGCACTAAGATGTAGCAGAGTATTTGCTAATGTTTGATAGTCTCAATTTTAGGAAAAAGAACAGGATTAAGGGATTTCTTTTTATCTAGATTTAAATATGTCACTACAGTCTGTAAATATGGAATTGAGAATAATTCATGCAGAAGGTAAAATGTCAAAAGCATTTTATTGGATGCCACTAAAGAATTTTGCAAAACATAATAACTGTGCATATGTTTTAAATTTTAATTGTGGATTTAGCTGCATGGCAGTATTAAGTGTTTAAAAATGTTAATTCCAGAACTAATATCAAAAATCATACATTGACAGATTTTATATCATATGGTGGAGTTTTTGTGTTTTAAGGAGGTTCTATCTGTGCCAGAAAATATTGCAATACATTTTTTTGGGGTTCTGTCTGATAGTTTTCGGCATGGAAATTGGATTATAACAGTGCTAAGTATGAAGTCTTAGTCAACTAATGAGTCCATGACTGCTTTTTAATTTCTTTCTTTTATTCCTTTTCAGTGGAAGGCTGCACAGACTGGTCAGTGGACTACCTAAAGTACAAAGTCCTTGTTGGGGAGCCTGTCCGGATAAAGTGTGCTTTATTCTATGGATATATCCGGGCAAACTACAGCCATGCGCAGAGCACAGGACTTAGCCTTATGTGGTACAAAAGTGCAGTGCACGGGGACTTTGAGGAACCCATCAGCTTCGACGGCACAAGAATGAGCAAAGAAGAGGATTCTATATGGTTCCGACCAGCTGAACTGGATGATGTGGGCTATTACTCCTGTGTATTAAGGTATGTTTTTCTCAAAATCAAAATGGAGCAAGCATTTGTCTTAGAATCTGCCACCATTTCAGAGGAATTATTTTTGCCTGCAGCATGTCTGTAAAACGGAGTAAATAACATTGTCTTGCATCCCTGTAGGCATATGTAAAGCTCTGTAAAAGTCCTCTCCTGTAGACTTCTAATGAAGTAATATACAGCCAAAAGCTAGCTGGTTGAGGCTCCGCAGAGCCTTTTCTGTGCCTATGAGGCATCGTTGCCTCATTTTATATGTTATATTAGTTTTTATTTCCCATTTGAGGGCAATAAGCCACATGGTACCATTGGTGAGTCCATATTCCTTTGGCCCTCACAAGTTTTTGTTTTCTGAAAACCTCACAGAAAGAAGTGAAATGCTTGACATAAGCGAAATATTGAACAGTCAGAAAGCTGCTTAGATAAAAGTGAAAAAAAATAGACTAGTGCTATCTTTCCTCTTAAATAACTGAAGGTTGCAGGAGTGCAGTTGTTTGAGTCAGAGTACATGTAACACTTCTGGTTTCCCAGTGGCTTTCATCAACATGGAGGTGGTTTTATGGTCCCCTAGAAAGAAAACGCCAAGTTGTAATGTTGAAATCTGTTTTTATTTCACGCAGCAAGAGCAACTTGAAAACACATCTCTCTTCAGGATAGAAGTGCAATCTTATTTCTTATTTGACAACACTTGTGTGTTTTAGGACCTTTTGTTAAAAGGAATGGAGGAAATAATGTGCTCTTGAACAGTAGCTTTCAGCACAGATTTCCTTGTGTTTCAGAAGCTGAAATCTGAGGGAGTTTAGCTATTACTATTCCACACCATTAGCACTCTCCCCTTCGATGTGGCAGCCGCCATGAATAGAAACATGGTGAACAGTACAACAATTCTCTATTCAGTCGTGTTGGCAGCAGTTTCAGGAGGTAGACAATCAGTCAGCTCAGAGTTATTGTGTAATCACACAGAGTAGAGTCTTGAGATTTGGTTTGGATGAGCGCCGTTGCTTTTTCACCAGTTTCTGCCTTTGAGAAGCAAATTAAGGGGCAACACATATTTGCTACAATGGAGAGAGCACTTTCAGTTAACAGGGGATTTTCCTTTGTTAGAATGGCTTTAAATGTTGTTCTGTCTGTAATGGTCCCTTAAACTTAGACAGCTAACCTTCACTCAATATTTTGTTTCCTGTCTTTTCTTCAGTAAAGAAGAACACATGCAATTGGATGTCTATGTAAATTTATTAGTCTGATTCTATGGTAATATTCACTGGACTGTTATAGCTTGCAATGTTTTTTTTTTTTTTATTTACCGTACTGACCTGAATATTAGACAACCCTGATTATAAGACAACAGTTTTTAGGTACAAAAAGAAAAAAAAAAAAACACTTATAAACTAAAATTTGGTTCACTTCCAAAAATTAAAATCTTAATAAGTCATTTTTTCTTAAAATAAGTGCATTTTGTCTTGAATTGAGGAGATAAGTGAGACACTTTGCCAATGGAACAAGACAATTTACATTTAAAAAAAGAAAAAAACAATTGCATTGTCTTATTTCAAGTGCATATTATATAATTATCTTATTTTAAAAGTAAAAATACTAATTTCATTGGCAGATCATCTTGCTTACCTACTGAAATTAAGGGTAAATTCACTTAATTTAAGAATCTTTTACTTATTTCTAGATTGTTTTTGCAGTGTTGAAAGAAACTATATTGAAGTGCTAACAATTGAATTGACATAATATTGCATTGGAACATTTGTGCAATTGAACACTAAAAAGTAAAACAAAACCCACAGTAATGAAACATTTAATTGAAATCTTGAAACACTTCAACTGGAATGCAATCTAAACTTTGCTCATAAAACATTTAAAAAACCTGGATTTTACTCACATGTGTCTCTTGTCCCTCTCCACTGGCTGTCACTCCTACTGGCGCCCCGCAGCTCTACTATTTTTTTGATAAGCTTTTCTTTTGCCGTTTGCATTTTTCTGGTGTTTCTGAACACTCCATCTTCTGACATTGCACTCTGTAGCACCGTATTATTTGCTGCCTGAGAGTCGTTTGATGCCTCCGCTGCATTGACCGCCGTTATTTTAAAATTGACGTCATAACTCTGCCTCAGATGTCTACAAACTTGTCCAACTTTTGATCCACTACAGTCTGGGGAGTGACTCTCCATTTCTAGCATCCTCTGCGGTGATAGAAAGATGACCCCAGCCACAGTGAGGTCACTGGCTTTACAAAAAACTGGCGCCCCCTGCTGTTGCGGTCGTGTAGCGACCCCAGATTGTTAATTGTCAGCCTGTATAATTGGTTAGACCCCGATTATAAGACGATCCCACATTTTTTACATCGTTTTTAACGAAGAAAAAAAAAAACTCGTCTTATACCAGGCCAATACTTGAATGCCATAAGTTGAATATAGCAGGTTTATCCTACTGCTGACAATTCTATGTGTATTTGAAAAAAAACCTTCTTATATCCGGGCCAATATGGTACATCAAATAACTTAGTTGTCACAATGCAATATTTTTTATAAGGCTAAAAATTTTTATTTTATAAAATAATGGGGGAAAAAAACTTAAACCTTTTGTTAAATGTTGCACAAAATAGATTATAGATTGTATATCAATGTTTTTATAGTCCATAGCTGATTAAAACTTTAATATATTGGATTTTTTTTTTTTTTTTCATTTTGCTATTTGACCAACTATTCTCCAGACATTAAGCCTTTTTTCTTTTCTTTTCTTGTATTTATTTCCAATGTGAGCCATTTTGGGGTGGTTGCCCAGGGCAACATCAGAAAGAAAGGTCTTTTTTGAAACGTCTTTATGTGGTCAAAAGGATGTTAGAGTAGCAGCCATTCAAAATGGCCATTCCCAGTCAAACGCCACCCGAATGTAAGCTCACTTTCCTGTCACTCCAATTAAAATCCCCTCCAACTTCCAGCCAGCGGAGTGACCCCCTCCTTCTCCTTGCCATGTATATTGTTTTACTGACTCCACACTTTCATTGATTTACAGGGCTTCTCTTTAGATCTTAATGTCCACCAATCATGTCAGAAAGAATATTTTTGTACAAAGATTGATGTTTAAAAATTAATTTTAGGGGACCAGCCAAGGCTCAGCCAAGGGTCCATCAAAGAAAATGGCGACATTTTTAATGGCTACTACTGTAGTTTCCAGGTGTGTTAAGTGTGTCCTCCCTGCTTGGTGCTGAGAATCAGGATTTGTTTGTTGGCAACCATACTGGAGGGGGTTCTTAAGGTGATGCTCTCTGACAGCTCTAACAGGGATAAGCATATTTAGAAAGATATATGGTTGTATGCCTTATAAGAAGACTGGTCTTTCCTCAACATTATAAAAGAAGGATTTCACTTAGTGATGGACCTAACTTACTGTTATCGGGAAGCTATAATAACTGGACGAATATAAAAAAATAATATAATGATCAAGCAAAACACATTCATTTGTCACAGGGTGTTTACTGTCAGCTTTGCAACACTTGAGTTAAGGAAATAAAACTTAATAGTGTAGGGAGTTTCACATGCTTGATTATATAGTAATAACTTATTAACCTTGTAGGTAAAGGGCGTTTTCTCTTGACTGGCTCATTAGTCAGCTCTCTGCAGCGATGTACGGTGCAGTTCAAGAAGAGAAAAGCCAGCTCAGGAAGACTTGAATGGCATAGGTTGAACATAGCAGGTTTATCTTACTGCTGACATTTCTCTGTTTATTTGCAAAAACCTGAGTCTGTGTAATTATTTGTGGCCTTTCAGGAGATGTTTATAATTCAGTAGTGCAGAATATTTAAGGGTATCTTCAAAAATATGCCAGAGTATGATCACTTAATATATGCCTTCATATTTTACCTTGTTAAAAATCCAAAAGGGGTACTGCAGAATATATCACTGTTTTTGTCTGTTATTAAATACTGTAAATCATATAATTGCACATACTTGGACACATTCCTCTCCCTTTTTGATGGAAGGTCGCAAATGCCATAATGGATTAATCTAATTTTACAAACACACTGCAGCAGGCTCATCTGCCGCCACAGTATGACTCATTCAGATTCCCAGGCATCCCAGCCAAGTCAAAGGATTGCTCTTCTCTTTTGTCTAAGGAGTGTGGGCCCTATACATGATCAGCATTCGCATATGTTAACACATTTCCATTGGCTCAAGCTCTTGGCTCTGTTTTTGACTGAGAATCTTTCCTGTTTGAAACATGAAGGGCCCTGGAAAATTGGAGCCCTGTGAGATGGAACAAATGAACCTCAGCATAACAATAAATGATTTCTCACTGGATACATTTCATAGTTGAGCAGACTGCAACAGTTCGGCACCAGTTACGATGAGATCCCTTGATGTTACCCTATTAGTGTGGTATAAAAAAAAAAAAAGCATGCCAATCATATTAGGAAAAGTAGCTTGGCAGAAACATCTGAAAATGCAGTTTTGGTTTAATGTGCTGCTTTATCCCCTGCGATTCTAAACTTCTGGCCTTCTTGATAGAATTCTTTCACCTGCATGCACACACAGCAATGTTTTCCTAATCACATCTTTGTTTATCAGTTCAGCTGCACCTAAGTGTGTCAGAGGGGGTTCAGACACTGGCACACCCCTGCGATTCCTCATGCGCACAGACACAACTTGTAAGGTCTACATGCCCAAGAGACTAGCTGTCACTGGCAGGAACTCGGTGTGCTTGCATGTGACAGCAGACCAACACACACACACGCATGCTCATATTCAACATTTTAAGCAGGCTTGACTTTTACTCTCTGGGATGCTTTTGCATGGACATGCACGTAGATATGCCCTAGACACGTTACAGGCATATGATGAGGGACAACCGTAGTAGTGAAATAGAGAGGAGCAGATGAATACTGCCATACGTCAAATTGAGGTCAGCACTCAGCTGTTTCAAATGCAATACCCTGAGGAAGTTTGTCGTATGAAGAGCGAAAACATCTGCAGTGGCAGTGTGCCGCTTGC